TTTGTACGGATTTCTTTTTTGCTAGAATTGTGGGAATATAAAAAAAAAATCAATTCGCGCCAAAGAATAATAAGGATTATGATATATATATATATATATATATATATATATATATATATATATATATATATTTATCCTTTTAAAGGAAATGTTGTGACTTTTTAATTTTTAACATTATGTACTTATAAAGTATTGACACTTCAAAAATCCTAACGTGTCGTGTCCGACACCTCGACACTCCAACACTCCAACACATGTTGTAGAAACTCATAAAAAGGTTCACAGGTTGCATTGCGTTGCGTTTTTTGTTCTAACTATTAGATTCGTGGGATTACTATTACCATTTTATTCAATTTAATATAAATATTTGTGATATCCTATGTTTCTTTGCAAAATTAATGGGTATTATAAGTTTACTTTTATTTTTTTATTAAATTATTGAATATTAAATATAATATACACAACATAAATTAAAAAAATTATTTAAAATTTAAACGTTTCCTAACGTGTCGAAATCTAACATTTTTTAGAATTAACGTGTTGGAGTGTTGTATCGTGTCGAGTCCTGTGCCGGTATCATTGTTACATAGTTATGTACTACAAGTAATACATAGTTATAATATGAATTTTTTTTCTCTTTCGTTAGTCCCTTTAGCTGATGTGGAAAGAGAAAAGAATTTTTTTTTCATATTATAATTATGTATTACTCGTAGTACGTAGTGTAAAAAATTAAAAGGACATAATTCGTATCCTTTAAAAGAAGAGACACTTAGCCCATATATATATTTGTTATATAACTGGATGGTCAAGTCATGATTAAACTACGTCGTTTTGTTTATTTATTTCCTTATATTAATTGATTTATCTTTAAATGATTATGAATTTATAATTACCTTGTTCTCTCACTTCTTTTATCACTGTTGATTCACCTTTGTACCAGTGACTGAACAAAAGTTTATATCTAGTGACTTAATACTCATAAAACCTTATATATATATATATATATATATATATATATATATATATATATATATATAGAGGCAGGATCCTTTGACACCGGTGTCAAAGAAAAAGTTTGACACCTCATCTGAGAGCCGTTAGATTAAAAAAAATCAATGGTGTCACATGCTTACAAATCAGAATCGTTGATTTTTTTTAATCTAACGGCTCTCAGATGAGGTGTCAAACTTTTTCTTTGACACCGGTGTCAAAGGATCCTGTCTAATCATATATATATATGGCTTTAATGTTTTTACAGTAAATATAGATAGAGGTAAGATCCTTTGACACTGGTGTCAAATTTAAAGTTTGACACCTCATCTGAGAGTCGTTAGATCAAAAAATATCAACGACTCTGATTTGTAAGCATGTGACACCATTGATATTTTTTGATCTAACGGCTCTCAGATGAGGTGTCAAACTTTAAATTTGACACCGGTGTCAAAAGATCCTACCTCATGTAGATAAATGATAAGTTACTTTAGATAACTTATCATTTACCATTTTTTCTGTTGTGATTTATTTTAAATTAACTTTTTTTAATGACTCCATTCGATGAATAAATTAAATACAATTTTATGTTCTGAATTGAAAAATGAGAGAGTAAATATTGCAGTTAGGGTTGGCAAAACGGGCCAACCCGACTCGACCCGGCCCAACCCGCATTCAGCCCGAAAAAAATGGGTCGGGTCGGGTTGGCTCGAAAAAAAAAACGAGCCAGAAAATCCAACCCGGCTCGACCCGAGCCGGGTTAGGGTTGGCTCGCGGGTTGGCTCGATAATCAGCTCGCGGGTTGGCTCGTAAAAAAGCTCACGGGTTGGCTCAAAAAAAGCTCGCGAGTTAGCTCGAAATGATGCTAGTGGGTTGGCTCGCGGGTTGGTTAGCTCAAAATATTGGCTAGCGGGTTGGCTCAAAAAATTTAATTTTTGTGGTTTGTTTTCCTGTATAAAATTATTGTATTTTGCAGTCCAACTACAAGTAGTAGTTTACAAAATCCAAAAACATTAAATGAAACACAAACCACTCCACGAATCACAAGAGTCATTTATCATGATTTTTTGAATTACTCTAGCTCACGATAACCATAAAACGTATGTAAAGCCAAAAAATAAAAAATAAAAGAAGTCCATCAGTGGAGAATCCATCAGTAAAGTCCATTGTATTAAAAAAAAAAAAAAAAAAAAAAAAGAGTAACCCGCGAGCTGGCTCGTTCAACCCGCGAGCTGGCTCGTTTGAGCTCGGGTTGGCTCGGGTCGGGCTAAATCGAGCTGGCAGCTCATTTTTGCCAACCCAACCCGGCTCGTTTTGTGCGGGTTACGAGCCAACCCGACGGGTTGGCTCATTTTTGCCATCCCTAATTGCAGTTAATGGAGCGAGGCTTTTTGACCAGGGGTCGAAATCCAAAAAATAAAATAAAATTATTGCATGTTTGAGGAAATATATTTACTATGTCTTAATTAAATAATTGGGTCAAATACTCCATTCAATGAATAAATTAAATACAATTTATGTTTTGAATTGTAAAAAGAGAGAGAGAGTAATACTACAATTAATGGAGCGAGGCTTTTTTGACCAGCGGTCCAAATCTAAAAATAAAAAAAATAAAAATATATTATTGGGTGTTTGGGGAAATATATATATTTACTATATCTTATGTCTAGTATCCTCGTGCCACAAATAAATAAATAAAAGTTGGAAGGTTTATGTTTATTTTTGAAATGTGAGTCTCCATCATTAAGACACGTGGCATAGAGTAGAAATATGTTTTTGCAAACACCCAATCAAAAACAAATTTGGAGATTTGTACCCGTATGGTCAAAAAGCCATGGAGCAATTTACGGTTTACCTGCATGCAGAACTGCAATAATTTTTTACTATTCTTCTTGTAAATTGTTATTCTTCAAGAAGTGATGTCACAATTAATAAAGAATGTGAAAGACTTTTTTGGTGGTGGCTTTTATATAAGTTGCAATTCGCAGTGCGGTTATGTGTATGTGTAGGGTAGTAGAAATAGGTAAGCTTGTTTTTGTTATCTAACAAACATGTTCAAGTTGTTGGCTACAGTTGCTATATTAGTAATGAGGATTGTAGTCCCAATACAGTGTCAACAACAAGATGATGGATTGTTGGCAACAAGAACAGTGCGTGTTGAACAAGAATTGGGTCCTGCTTTTATTCTTAAACTCCATTGTCATTCCAAGGACAATGATCTTGGTGGTCGTTCTCTTCATTATGGAACCTTCCAACAATGGTCCTTCCAAGATAACATTCGCGGTACAAACTATGTTTTGGTGCACCGCTTGGTGGAACATTGTGAAATCTCCATCACCACCTGTGTATAGCTTTCAAGTTTATAGCTCCGAAAAGGATGGTTTATCGTGTTCATCAAAATGCTGGCGAAGTGTTAGACTAGATGCAGTCTATTTTTTTCTTGAGTACAAAGGTATCTGGGAGAAGAGAGTCTCATTTCCTAATTTACTTGCTTAAATTAAAACCTTCCAAGTTATTATTCCTTCGTCTGCTCAAGTGTAAAATAAAATAAATTAATAATTATTCTCGTGCCATGCACCTATTTTCCTTTATTTTGATCGAGTTTCATCTTCTCGCATTATGGTTGTCATTAGTATAATTGTCACGCTATCCAATTGGGGATTAGTCTCATATTTATATGGATTCCTTTTTTGCTGGACTGTGGGAATATCCAAAAAGAAAAAACTTATTTCGCCCCAAAGAATTATATATATATATATGAGAAAAATATTTCTCCAGCAATTTGAGATAAGTTTATCTTCGGTCATCCCAAAACTACGTCGTTTTGTTTATATATATAGGGCTTAACATTTCTGCAGCAGCCGTAGATAGTGTTATCTACAGCTGACACAGAAAAGTGGGCCCCACGGCTTAAAAAAAAAAAAAAACTCAGGATCCGTTGTATATATATATATAGGCTTAACATTTCTGCAGCAGCCGTAGATAGCGTTATCTACAGCTGACACAGAAAAGTGGGCCCCACGACTTTAAAAAAAAAAAAACTCAGGATCCGTTGTGTGTATATATATATATATATATATATATATATATATATATATATATAGGGCTTAACATTTCTGCAGCAGCCGTAGATAGTGTTATCTACAGCTGAGACATAAAAGTGGGCCCCACGACTTTAAAAAAAAAAAAAAACTCAGGATCCGTTGCCGTATCCTAGAATCCGGACGCGGATCCTTGCTTGCTGTAGGTACAGCAGCTGCAGAAATTATTTTGTCATATATATATATATATATATATATATATATATATGTATATATATATATATATATAGGGCTTTGATTTTCTCATGTTACATGAAAATTATATTCTCATGTTGTGACTTAACTAGTTGTGGGTCCACACTTATTAAACAAAGAAAAAAGAAAGAAAGTTTTACACACAAATCGAAGAGTCACAACGTGAGAAAACACTTTTCATACAACATGAGAAGTGTTTTTCCCATATATATATATATATATATATATATATATATATATATGTATATATATATATTAGATTATATTTATCTTATGTTACATAAGAGAAGCCAATTTCTTACAGACAAAAAATGGAATGGATCCCACCTCTATTTTTTCTCTTTCCTCTTACCTGAGAGGTCGCACTTGTAATTTTGTTTCTGCTACATGAGATATTTTTTTCTTACAACATAACAAAATTTTTTCCCTTATATATATATATATATATATATGTATATATATATATTTTTTTTATTTTTATTTTTTTCAGGGTGAAGAGATACTCATGTGGTAATTTACTTACCTAAAACATGTAATATTTTATCTAATAATTACTAATAAAGAATATTTCCCTTCATTTGATCGCCTTTCATTTTCTCAATTTGTTGTTATCTAGAATCTAGAAAGCTAACGTTTTGCAAATCACTAAAATTTCATACAAGTAGTTTGCTCATAAATTGGTAATGGTTGAAGTGATTCACAAGTGATTTCCCTTTAACGAGGGAGCAAATATCTTTTCTTACCCCACCAAACAGAGACAAGGAATAAAACTACACAGCCTACAACTGTACCCCAAGTTGTAGCCCAAAATTGACTATTTTGACCATCAAAGAGATCTATGTGAATATTCATGCCAAACGATCCTACAACCACAATTCCCGCACTAACTATCATGTTTAGCGTGTCGAATACTACTGCTACCTGTAGAAGCTGATTTCTTTTATCATCCAACATTATGTTGATGTAGTCCTCTGTGTCATCCACGTACTCACTCATCTTAACCATGTGCCATACACATACGTCAGTGACTTTGATAAAGAAAAATAAATAAATATTGAATAGCACATAATAAAATATATATACAAGAGTTCAAAAGATACGTACACTGGACAATTTTTGCATGATTCCATTTATCTGTGCAAAATATGCTTCTAGAAGCATCTCCAATTCCTCAACGTCAAGGTCAGCAGGACCAGAAGTTGTGTCTGACTTTTCCGAAATTGATTTACCTCTGCAGGCAAAGCAACCATACTAAGCGTGACTCATGTAATTGAATAGCAGAGTTATGGTGCATTTGATTAAATAATGTTTATTAGGTTTTAATGAAGTATAACACTTGAGTCTTATTTGTCAAAATAGAGCTATTATTTAATAGACTAATGTTAACAGTTTGCACCTTTCGTCGTCATGATCTTCAAATTCAACATTGTACGCTTGTTTTGATGATGCCTCAGCCTGATCCAATAAGCGAGCATCGAGCTTTTGTGTCAAGTACATTTCAGCCATGTCATTATCATCGTCCAACAAATGTTCGAGTTGATCTGCCACCTGTAAAATTCAAGACTAGTACTAGTTTTTATTTTCAGAACAGCGTAGCTTTGTTGAATAATTAATCAAAAAATCCCTAGGCATGTACTCCAGCTTGGAGCAAAAATATGCTCATAAAGGAACTCTGAACTAAAATAACCAAAAAGGCCTTTAACGACCACCAAGTTACCCCAAATCCCATTTGCTTAGAGCTTCTTGAAAACGTAAAGTTCCTAATCTCAAATCTAATTTGCAAAAGTGTTATATTAAAAACCACTAGAGATTAAATCCTAACTAGTAAGGATTAAAATAGGGATAATACTTATAAGCAATCTTATCCTTATATATTTACAAGTATATTGCTTTTCGAATTTAAATTCTTCTTTAAAAGTGTGCTATATTAATAAACAAAAAATGGAGCCTTTGAAAAAACATGGCAAAATGATCCCATGTATAAATTATTAGCATTGAATCCTCCATCTCTACATCAGCATGGTGTTTTGCAGAAAATTTCTTATTGAAAATCAAGATTAAGCTTTGTTTTCTTTAGGGAACACAGAGTTTCAAACAACAGGGTGCACAAGACAGATGACTATACTTCCGAAATTCTTAATGTAAAATTCATAGATCTTCTTCATCATACATGGTAGCATGTGTTTGATGAATATTATTTACCTTCTGCACACGGCCAGAAAGTGCAACCAAACGACTCTTGATCTGTCTTACACGTTCAAGATTGAGTGTGCTAATTTTAGAGGTCAATTCATCTAAAGCTGGGTAAGCCTCTTCCTCCAATGTTCGAGCCTGATAAAGATAAAAGGCATAGAGCTTATAATCATTATAGAATTCACTTGGATCTGGTCTTATTAAATAAATAATAAAATAATACATCAGGTTTAAGAAACAAGAGCAACTTCAAAACAATTCCTGAGAAAAAAAATTAAGTTGAGAAATTTTTTCTTAAAAAAAAAAAAACGACATAATGGAAATTTTGTAAGACTGCCCTTACTATCAGAGATACAATAAGATTAAAGTGTTTATTCATTAAATATATTTTTCCCATTCGAATCTTTGGCTCCATCAACAACATGATTAGAGATAGTGTAAATGCAGTTCTATAAATGAACAAAATAAATTACCTACAGACCTCAGATTCAAGGCACATGCAAGCAGATTCAAGACATGCCTCAAGTGCTCTGAACTCAAAAGGTAACTGCTTGGGAGCTGGTGCTTCTGGTACATCCTGTGCCCTCCTCTTAGAGCTACCCCATTTTATGTCAACGTTTAACGTGTCTTGAAAGTCCTCAATGTGGGAATCCTGACGACTGCACAATGTAGGTGACCCCTCCGATAAAGATTTTGCTTCATAATCAGTATCCGTGTCATTGCTCATCTGTGGAATTAAGTCTAGAGTCATTGAAAATTTTTACTATATAGCAAAGACATTAACATTGGTCTAGTGCCGAGGGGTTTAAGTAATCGGCATAAGGTTCAAACCTTGGTACTACTATTGTATCAAAAAAAAGAAAAAAGAAAAAAACATGCTAGTGATGGTGTGCTTAATTCAACTTAATTTAGATCAAATATGTGTTTTAAGTTACTTTTTAATTTCTATTCAGAGTATTATATATGAGGGCGAACGTAAAGAAGTGGTAAAATGATAAAGTTACTTTTTATGCTGCAAGGGTAAAATTATTGTCCTCACCCCTACCCTTGATAGTTGGGATTTAATGAGAAGTGATTTATTTGGATTGTTATGTCATGTAAAGATCAGTTTAAAAGTGACAATCATAACAAAAAAAAGTAATATTATTTAATTGGATTTTTTTGGCTTTGTGAACCCCACTAACAGATTATATGCAAAACAAAGGTGTTTATAGGTCATTGAGCTGAATCTATTTTCAGTATTTCGTGCATTCACAAATAACCTAAGAATTCTCATGATAAAAATTATTATGGCCTTAAAGGATATAATTTTTCCCCAAAAACATTCACAACAAAAATGAATACGTTTTAGAGTGTTTTTTCCGTAATGGTTTGAACTTTGAAGCGATAAAGAAAGAAACTAGGGAGGCACGTACCGGGTGGGGCGTTTCATTGTTGGAAGAAGGAAGACGCGCAAGAAGATCATGAAGGAAATGAAGAAACAAAGGGTTGGAGGAGTTGATCATGAGGATCTCCTTGGGAGTGATGATGGCTTTGATGTGTTCCAAGTTGACAACAATGGCTCTGTCACGTCCTAGGATGGAAGAGGGATTAGACAACATAGGATCGAGAACCCTAAGGTCACGCGCCGGCAACCCAGTTCGCCTCATAATGGAGTGTTTCTCAACTTCCTCAAGCAGTGATTGTCCTTTCTCCGATACCACCATCCACTTCTTCACTCCCATTCCCATACCCTTACGCCGACCCTGCCCTTGAACATTCATCATCATCCCCACTTTTCCTTTCTCTTCCTCGATTATGCGCCTCATTTTACCCATCACTTCAAATCCAATACCATCTCTATCTATTCATATTAACTATCTCTCTCTATATCAACTCTTTCACCAAACAAAAAACCTATGTTCCTTGAAATTCTTTTACGTTGTTCTCAACAAAAATAAACTTATCTTACGTCTTGCAGTTACACTTGTTTTTGTAGACGACCTTTTCTTTATTTGATGATAAGTTTTCTCCCACCAAATTCGGGTACAGGAGATTTATCTTATTTAATTTGTTTTTTCAGATTAAACTAACTAACAACTTTAAATGAAATGGACCTTGGCCCAATTCTAGTGGTGTTGGGTGTGTGTGTTAGGAGTGTGTGTAGTATAGGAGTGTGTGTTGTAGTATAGACAAATTTAGAGAGAATTCTAATAATTATTTTTATTTAATTGTAATAAAAATTATAAATCTTTAAATAATTTTCTTGAATAGACAAATCCACAGTGAATTTTATTGGACTAATGGCATATCCTTTTGTAATCATTTCACTATAAGTCCGTCACAAAAATTGATTATCATGTCAAATTGTCAGCATTCAATTAATGTTAGTATTAAAACCAATTCGTTCAAAGCAACAAATTCGTTCAATTAATTTTAATTTACTTCAATAAATTCTTTTCCATCTAAATCATTTCATAACATTTCCAATAGAATCTCATTTATATATTAAATATAGGGAATAACATCTGTCATTTTAAATGATACAATCTTATATCATTTTAGATCATAACCGTTGATTTTCGTACATCAACGGTTATAATTTATTGGATCAAAATTAAATTAATTAATAATAAATTTGGCCCATTAAATTTGACCCAATAAATTATAATCATTTATGGACGGAAATCAATAGTTAGGATCTAAAATGATATAAGTTTATATCCTTTAAAAGAATAGATGTTTTTCCCTTAAATATAAAGTCGTCTTTAATAAAACAGTAATCCCCGAAACAAAAATCACATATTTAATTTTTTTTATAAAAATTAAAATAAATTATTTTTTTCAAAAGTAAAAAACCTAAAACACAAAAACAATGCATTTGATTGCAATATAAATCAATGTAAACAAACGGGCTGTGATTATTTTATGGGAAAAATATCTCTCCTTTTAAAGGATATAACCTTATATCATTTTAGATCCTAATTAATTTTCGTCCATCAACGATTATAATCTATTGGGTCAAACTTAATGAGCCAAATTTATTATTAATTAATTAATAATTTTAATCTAATAAATTATAATCGTTGATAAACAAAAATTAACCGTTAGGATCTAAAATGACATAAACTTATATCCTTTAACATGACAGATGTTATTCACTTATTTTATTTTATTTTTTGAGAAAAAAGAAAAAAAATGGAGGAAAGGATATAATGGTAAATAGATGGGAAACGCGTTACCCATTCCTACGGGGAATCCAATAGGGAAGCCGTGTTTATTGAGCAATGGAAATCCCGCCCTTTTTCCGTCTCTCTCTCTCTCTCCTTTTGCTTTTTTCATTTTTTTAATATATAAATATAATATACTAGTTAACTTCTTAATTAGGTAAGGTGAAAAAGAAGGGGATGAAAATCAAAATCAAAATTCAAACACTGAAAGGAGAATTATGATAATAACAATAATATTTGAATTGTGATATTGTTTGATTCGAAGAAGGGATGAGAGGGGTTGTAACAGACTAACAGGATTCTGTTAAGCTCCAATTCCAGATTCCCTCTCTCGCTCGCCGCAATCTCCATTCAGGTTCCTCTTCTTCTTTTCATCTAATTGTTCATGTTCCGTAGATCCAATGCCTCTTATATCTTTCACACCAATTCTAATAATTTTCTCAACAATTCTGTTTGTTAATCGTGTCCCTAGATTCCATCGCAAGTTGCGTTTCAATCACTATGATAAACTTTTTTTTTTTTTTTTAATTTATCTCAAATTTCAATATTAGGTACCAAAAATACAATTCTCAATCCAGTTTAGAGTTTTAACGTCTTCCGCAGCACCGTGCCCTGCGATTTCTTTCTATTTTTACGTTCTTAATTAAGCAGTTAGTCTATAAATTATTTTGGAATTAATCGCTTCTGCCTTTTACTTTTTATTTATTTATTTATTTATATTTGATTTAGGAACCATAGAGAATGGTGTAAGTAACAATGACTGAAGTTTCGTTTTGAATGTTCAGGTTTTATGTACATGAATCCTTTGACAACCGAGTTGTATCTAATGAGTTTCACCATGATAGATTTGGCAATTTCAATTTTGAGGTTGGTCACGAGCCCTGATGCTTCCGGTGCATCTATTTTTGGATGTTTAATCACGGGATCATTAGGAGTTATGGCAGTTATATATGCTGTTCTCAAGTGGCAGCGAAGATCATCTTTGAATTGGATCAAAGCTGCAGCTAGAGAAAAGAAGAAAGTTTGGAAAAAGTTTAAAGTACCTTTATCAGATCATTTGTGGGTTGAGGATTTTACTTATGGGGAACAGCCATCCACTTGTTGTTTCTGCTTGACTTCCCTTTGGCCTTCTCAAAATTTAGGGACAACAGCCTCGCCGGGCACTCCTCTCCATCGTTGCTCCGTTTGTGGTGTCGCAGCTCATTTCCTTTGTTCCCAGTTTGCAGCAAAGGATTGCAAGTGTGTGGCTCAGGCTGGTTTTAGCCATATTCGACACCACTGGTCAGAAAGATGGGTTAATGTGGATGACAATCATGAGATGTCTGCCTTCTGTTTTTACTGCGATGAACTGTGTGGTGGTGTTCCATTTGTCAAAGCTTCTCCCACGTGGCATTGCCGGTGGTGTCAGCGCCTCATTCATGTGAAATGTCATAACAAATTGACTGGAGATTCTGGTGATTTTTGTGATTTGGGTCCCTTGAGGCGAGTTGTCCTCTCTCCTCTATGGGTCAAAGAAGTTGATGAAGATCAAAAGGGAGCGAGACCAAGTTCTATTATAAACTCATCTGTTCATGGTCAGGTTAGAAAACGGCGTAATCGCAGTAAAAGCTTAGGTGGTTTCCATACTAATGGTAAGTCAAGTGGTTCCTCGGTTACTGATGCAACATTCTTGGAATATATGTTGAATGATATCGATTGGAATGATCCCAGTGATGAGAAGCTCTTTGAATACATGAATAATGGTAGAGTATTAAAAAACGGTATAACTGCTGGCCCTAGCCTAATCAAGAAATACACATTGGTTGATTTGCCACATGATACAAGGCCACTTTTGGTCTTCATTAATGCCAGGAGTGGTGGGCAGCTTGGGCCTTCTCTTCATAGGAGATTGAATATGCTACTAAATCCTGTTCAGGTGATTACTTTGTCTTCCATAAATGAACGTACTTTTGCCTTTTATTGAAGTAATGACATCTATTAGTAGAGTTGCAGATATATCTTTTAGATCTTTTTCAGAATCAGATTGGATCGTATGATTTTGGAGTTTGTTTGATTAGAAGTTAAATTTTAATTGTGATCTTAGATCAAGAATCACTTCATTCTTCCTGTTTTCAATCCTTCATAATGCCATGAATATATTGTTGACAGAAAATAAAATAAAAAAGTTGAAGTTCTGTATATTAAGATGTAGTCTGTTTCAGACAGGACTGCAGAGTGATGACTTTAGTTACGAATATTCTGTAAAGAGAGTTGTTGTTGAACAGCATGCTAATATTTTTTCATTATAATAGAAAATTTTAATTCTACCATAATATTTGAAATGTGATCTGTTGGCTTAACATTATGTGATTTGTTTCCATGATCCTCAAAATATAAAAGATATTTTGAAATGCAACTCTATTTTTGAAATTTCCTTTTCTTTTTGTTGGAGAAAGAAGAACATTAAAAAAAAAAAAAACTAATGCTGTAATTTCATTATTAAGCACTGATGTCAAATTCAAATAGCTTAATCATTAAATTTTCTCCCAACTAATTACTTTGTGGTTATGTGTTGAATCCATACAATTCTTGATTGCATGTGCATAAGACTTGTTTGATATGTTATCTTAACCTGTTCATTATTCATGAAGGTTTAAAGTAGAGCAAATGTTTTGGTGTTGTATTAAGTATATTATCTTCTTTAATACTGCTGACAAGTTAGTAAAAAGGAATAGAAACAACAAACAAGGTTCTACTGTAGTTAAAAAAATTAAGCGAAGTTGTGTTTTATTCTGAATATCATCCAACATGAGAAATTCAACACACTATGTACTATGTTTATGTTATCTTTCAATTTTCTCATCAAATTGGGCTTTCTGTTGAATTTTTTTTCTATTTAAATTTATTGTGTTATTATAAGGGATATCTGTATGATATTACAGATTAAAGTTTTGCTAAATCCTACTAAATAACTCCTCAACAACAATTTATCTATGAAAATAATTTTCTCCTTTCTTTTGTAAACTAGCAATACTTGTCCGGATAGACATAATGTTTTTCATTTTTCATATCATGGTCTTAATGGACATTTTCTGGTTTGGCTATTTTACTGCAGATCTTTGAATTGAGTGCTTCTCAAGGTCCTGAGGTGGGCCTGGAATTGTTCAAAAGTGTACGATATTTTAGGGTATTGGTATGTGGTGGGGATGGCACTGTTGCATGGGTCCTTGATGCTATAGAAAGACACAATTTTGAGTCACCTCCACCAGTTGCAATTCTTCCCCTAGGCACGGGAAATGATTTGTCCAGGGTGCTGAATTGGGGAAGAGGCTTCTCTGCGCTTGATGGACAAGGCGGGTTGACCATGCTTTTGCATGACATTAGCAATGCAGCAGTTACTATGCTAGATCGCTGGGAAGTTAAAATTGCAGAAGAAAATTCGGAAGGAAAACCAAATAAAGTGAAAACTAAATCCATGATGAACTATCTAGGTACATCTCTGAAACAACAACTATCTAGGATTGTTTCTTAAGAATTACTGACATCTGCAACCTGCTTTTACAGGCATTGGATGTGATGCCAAGGTTGCATATGAATTTCATGTTACTCGAGAGATAAATCCTGAAAAGTTTTCAAGTCAGGTAGATATTCTCCCTTCTGTGCTGTCTTATCATTGAAAAATATTTATTCATGTTAAACCATGTCAATTGTCTAGTTTTCTTTCTATGCACATTTTTTAAACTACCCCTTTAAAGGCCGGGCAATATTTAGTAAAAATTACACTGCTGGTTCATGCTAAAAGGCTGAGATTATTCTAAATTGCCTGTGCTGGCATTAGGGTGCTAAATGTAGTTGACTGAAATAGGAGCCTATTGAACTGATTCTTTTAATTCTATTTATCATACATCTTAACGACAAACAGGAGAGACCAGGTCAAGATGAGTGGATGGCCAGCAATATGGTTTTGGACATTTCAACAAATTATACATGTTTACTTCCTCATTTTGGCCCTTCTTTATTAAAGACTTTTGGTTCTATTTTGGTTCTCTTATCTAGGGTAGTTAACTCATGCTGTCCATGCAAAGCCTTCTTTCTTACTTTTGGGTTTATTTATTTCTGATGATAATTCTATTAACAGTTTTTCAATAAATTGCGATATGCAAAAGAAGGAGCAAGAGATATTATGGACCGAACTTGTGCGGACTTGCCATGGCAAGTATGGCTTGAAGTTGACGGGACAGACATTGAAATTCCTAAGGTTAATTACTGATGCTAATTATTTTCAGATTCAAGTCAGTAATTCATGTTATGAATATCTTCTTCTCTAAATTTATATATAAATCTACATTTATTGATTCTTCTTTCATGCAGGATTCAGAGGGCTTAATTGTGCTCAATATTGGGAGCTATATGGGTGGAGTAGATCTTTGGCAAAATGACTATGAGCATGATGATGATTTTAGTCGTCAATTCATGCATGATAAAATGCTTGATGTGGTATGTGTTTGTGGAGCATGGCACCTAGGAAAACTTCAGGTATTGGATACTTTAATCTTATGCACTTCTGAAATATCAAATTAAGTCTTTATAATGATGCTGTTAATTTAAATTATTCTACTAATTTTAAATTTATTTCACAAAAATTTATTTTTCTGTATTTATAAAATAATGATGCAAATACCACCACTTCCCATTAACCCCGACTAATGAGGGTGAGATGATGACAATCCTAGTACGCAACCTTAACCTTGTATAATTAATTACAAAGAGACTATTTTCTGGATTCGAACCCGTGACTTTTCAGTCACAACGGAACAACTTTACCATTGCTCAAGGCTTGCCCTCTTTGAAATAATGATGCAAATACATTTAGGTAAATTTTAATAATATAATTATGCATATGGATTTGTCATTAGACAAAGTAATTCAAATACTGAAAGTACCAAACTGATCTAAATTTTACATAAAAACAACAAATTTATATGCTCATTCTACATTGGATAAATGATAGAAACTTGGAATTAGAGTAGGTAGAAATAATGGAGACCAAGCTCCTTACAAGAAGAACTAGCCCTCTATTAAGACTGAAATCACAAAAGAAAATAACAATGGAAATTCTGCAAACCCGCTGAATATCCCACCCCTCCCAAAACTTCTCCACCTTACTCTTGCGTTAACCTTTCTCATTTCTCTCCCTCACATTTATCCCACCTTTTGGTGGTAATGCCCAAATCGCTCCACTCATTCCTTCCTTCTTTATATTGTGCCCGGTGTCTAGGTTGTTACCAACCCCTTCTTCTATCTTTTCCTCTGCTGTTAGGATAGACCCTCCAATTTCCCCCCCACTTTTGTTCAGCCCAGTTCTCTTCATTCTAGAGTGAACATGCGTTAAGGATCTATCAATAAATAAGGTAACTAAAGTTTTGGATTCATTTTGATTATAGTCTTGCATCTTTCTCTACGCGGAAGTCTTACTTGTCCATATTTTAAATTTGATCCAATGCCATTATAAAACTGTTTTACTATTAGTATCTTTTAATAAGAAAGTGCCATTCTATTGTGGCGACCAAGTTTTGTTTTTAAAGATATATATAAAGCCTTGTCTGTTGAAATGATTATTTTAGACACGGAGAACTATTGCAAGAGGTTAATGTATTGGTGCACTTATTTCACTCTTAAATTTTTTTGCAATGCTTGTTAAATAGATAAAAGATAAATTTGTAAATTCATGGTAAATGAATAAGTAATGCTTGATTTACTGTATAGGTTGGACTTTCGCAAGCAAGAAGGCTAGCTCAAGGTAAAGTCATCAAGATACACTCTTCCAGTCCTTTCCCAGTTCAAATTGATGGGGAGCCATTTATCCTACAACCAGGCTACTTGGAGATAACACATCGTGGGCAGGTAATGGCATGCTTCCATGTTTTTGTAGTTTATTTTATTCTCACATTTTTCTATTTAATGGCGCATCTCTAGCATGTGGTTTAAGTAAAATACGTTCTTATCATCTTATGCTAATTGGTCTAGAATGTACTTTCACTGATTAACCTAGAATTGCTCCCTTTTGCTCATAAATTGCATACATGCATCTTCAATAAATTAGATCATGGTTTGTATTATATTCACATGTGCAATAAAGCAAGCAGGGGGAGGGAGTTACTGCTTGTCCCTACTGCAATATTTAGATATGATTTGTATCTCCTTTCGATGCCAAAGAAGTGGAAAACATATGCAGATTATCACTGGGCTATGGACGATGGGGTTAAATGTCTGATGTGCCAAGGAGATAACTGTCCATATCATGCATTTTCCAATACCTTTCCCGTCCAACTGGTTTTCCCCTACTCCCAGTTCCCCCTCATTTAAAGAATTAATATTATTGTTGAGTTTAGCACGTCGGAGGCTTGATTGGGCGTTGCCTGTTGAACTGAATTAAAGGGAGAAAATATTTTGTATTAAATCGGGTTTGTTCACAAGAATTCTGAACACAACAATTTCACTTTTGTATGTTGATTGATATTAATGGAGTCTTAGCTTTTGCTATATTCAGGTATTCATGTTGAGGAGGATTTCAGAAGATGAGCCTAAAGGGCAAGCAGCTGCAATTATGACAGAGGTATTACTAGATGCCGAGTGCAAGGGCATTATTAATGCATCTCAGAAGAAAGTTATTCTACAGGATATGGCCATCCATCTTTCTTAAGATCCATCTCTCGTTCAGCCCGTTTATATAGTGTTGCCCATAAATGGGTTTTTGTCCTCTCTAATCCTTTTTTATAGGACCATTTTTGGTAATTCTCCAACTTAGAGAGAGAAAAATGTAGTTCCACGAAGAAGCTAATTACTAATATAAGAGTGAAAAATGTGCGGCGGCATAGTCAAGGTTTTTCTTTTACTCTTGTTTTCCGGCTAACACCCTACGCTGTGTATATTGTAACCGGCGTAACATATTTTCTTGAAATCCCTGTATCACTACTACTCTAGTGAGATTCTTTTTTGTTTTTTTGTTTTTTTGGTAAGAATATGCATATATTTATCACAATCGTGGTGCCCAAAATCCTTCTTGTGGTTTTTCTACTACGATCACGTTCATTAAGTAAACCTAAATTCCAATAGCTGTCCGTCACGTTTAATTGTCGAGCTGTTAAGGGGCATGAGCATGTTGAAATTGGAGGTTTTTTGTTTCTACGTTGGAGAAAATCAAAGTTTTATTCACGAATCATGATCTTGAATTGATTATTGGACGCTTCTTCTGTAGGCCACACCGTGATAAACCGTGTTATCAATGTCTTTCATTTCATCCATGATGTTTCCTCTCCTAGCTTGAGGCAACTAATAACTATGGCATCTAAATCATCTGTGCAATGCAACAATTCCAACTCCTTTTTTATTTTTTTTCTGGGGTTCAAAAATACAACTCATTGATTCTCTATGATTCGCACGACCTAACGCGTTTATTAATCTTGGAATTATTGATCCTTGCTTTCTACTACGTTCCATCAAAATCAAAATCATTGAAAAATCATAACAAATGGTTTGCTTGTTCGCTAGTCACAACCTGTGTCTTTTGAGTGCGAAAGAGAGCTATGTAGGATATTATTTTCTGAAACACATTTCATTTGTTTTCGTATATATGAATAATTCAGACCACATTTACCAAGTTGCTGTGTTCATTTAGTTCCTCGAAGTATTATTTTTATAATTGTTTGACTTCTAAATAAGCACCACCATACTCAGCTTAATTAATTAAAAAATCATGTTTGCTACACTTATAATTAACGTTTAGATTATCTAATATAAAAATGATTTTATTGTTAATTATTTATACATGTTTTGTCCTCTATTTAACAAGTTTTTGATATATTTTATATATACATTATAAATCTTCAATTGCGTCATAATTTATATTACATATTATATATTAGTTCTATAAAACGATCTAAGAACAACTTAACACGTGTGCAGACTAAGAATCAAGTTGTTGCTGCTAACCCAAAAAAAAGGGGGCTTAAATATATAAACTCTGCTTCGATCTATATATTTTAAGGCAAATCCAAATATTACGAAACAAAACGCAGAAAAATAAACTCATAAACGAATAGCCCTATAAATTTAAAATGGCAATATGCAAATAATCCATAGCACAAATCAAACATAAATCATTATGTTCAATACAAACCATGTTAAATTAATCAAATATATAACAAATATCAGAACATTCTCTTAAAGTAATTCCATTAATAATTTAAGGATAATTTCGGAAATCCAATCAGTATTCGAATATTAAGAGTTCAAAAAATGGCATATAATGGAACCACATATCCTCCGGGCTAATTTAAGCGTATATATATATATATATATATTAAACTTAAATTGTTACAGAATGACACTGAATTAATAGTGTTTTCTTATTATAGGTACAAACTGATCTTTTAATTTCATATTTGTTTGGTCTGTTTGTTACCTCGATTTTATTAGTGCTGTTATAGTTAACAATAAGTTGTATGCATTTTTCTTTTTTTACCCATCCTCATTTTAACATAGTCTACTGTGGCGTATTTATTTTTTACATAACTCATCGAGTAGATAACTGTATTTGATTTGCATAATATTGATCACTTTCAATAGCAGATTTTTGTTTATGATTGATATTTGCAAAGTTCTGTATCAATGCTGTAATTTTTCCACCTAAAATATAGAATAAGATAATAACACAGGTTTTTGTAAGTATAAGGTTTGCAGTGCGATTAACCAACCACGGCGGACGATAAATATTTTGTTCTTTTTCTCCCGGGCATCGCACGGGTAATTCACTAGTATATACATATAATGGAACCACATATCCTCCGGGCTAATTTAAGCGCATATATATATATATATATATATATATATATATATATATATATATATATATATATATATATTAAATCACTTTCTTAGTTCGGTCAAGAATAAATCACCCAAGCCTATATTAAATAATTCACAAAGATATTTCTTGCAGTTTTATCTCAAGTAATTAGCACTGTTAGAATTTAAACTTATGGTCACATGCCCTACCTATAAATCCTTGTCTACCGCTAAGCAAACCTTAGGACTATACACAATGTTATATTGTATTGCGAGATAAAGATGCTCTAAATCCTAAAAAAATGTCCTGTTGGAAGCTTCATCATGATTGGGGTATGTCATCCACAGCCACCCCCGGCTACATATTGTTAGAAATAATTAAAAGAATGATGAAATTCAAATATCTGTTCAGCAACTAAATATATAACTATTGCATAGATTTAAAAGAATATGATTTTTCAGTACACAAACAAAACATTAATATCATTTTTTCGGAGAGAACTTATCCTCTTGAATGCATCAAGCTATTGTAGGGGTGTGCCCTAAAAAAAGTATAGGGCTACCGTTAACGTTGGCTAAGGATATTTAATTTAAGGGCTAACTTGTTTTGGGTTTAAAAATTTTAATGACTAATTTATATACATAATTAAGGAAATTCAAGAACTAAGTGTATGATGTGTTCAATCGCCTGTTTATAACACGCACAATTTGAGCTTAGCTCATTTATTTACTGAGTTTAAATTTAAACTTGAGCTCATTAGCTCAACTTATTTGCACTGTACAAGCATCAAGATTTTTAGCATTGACCATTTTTTAAGAATTAAGATTAACAATCGAGATTTATGGCCTGATATAGTTAATGAATTGGGAAGTCGATCTATATATTTTTACTTTTGCAAATTGGTCGCTCGAAAAAAGCATATTGTCTTCTCTATCAATCAAGACCAGTCAAAATTGGTGCTAAATTGTAGATTGCCAGTCCAAACTTTTTAAATTTAAGGGAAAAAAAAAATAGTGAGTGGGACTTGGAAAGGAAGTTATTGAAAAGGAAAATAAGATATCATATCTTAGCCATATAAGTTGTTGAGATTTTATTTATTTAATCCAATCCTGATTAATCCGATTTGACTATTATCAAACTTATATTATTGGGGCGACTCTACCGACATTACCAAATTTTAACTCAAAACCTTTAATTAAGGAAAAGAAATCGTTGAGACTTTAACTTATTAACACATGCAACTTTATACCTTTGACTATTATATTATACATTCTAGCTTGATCACGCTATCATATCTTATCTGATTGAATGATTAATTCTGCTTTTAGAATCTCAATTTCTAATTTCACTTTCACTCTCTTCAATCTTTTTCTCCAAGACTAAGTTACAGGGTTTTGCAAACTTCTTTTAAGAGATTCACAAAGTTTTGAATTGTTTTTTTTTAAGGTTTCTTCTTTATTGAATTGGTGAGCTTGCAACAAGTTAGTTTCATGGAATGGATTGAGAACATCGGTTGAATAAAACAATTTTTGCATGCCTTTAAAGAAGGGAAGGCCACTACCAGTGGATTAAGTAATAAATGAAAGTAAGTTCAACACTATATCTTAACTTAAAATTTTAATGTATTAAATTTAAAAATTATTCCATTTATGTGGTCTTCGTCATCAACTTATATTGTTTGGTTTTATCATAGAAAAGAATAGAAATACAAGTTAATAACATTGCAATTGATGAATGGCTACTCCACTTTCCTTCCTTCCTCCCTAGTTTTTCAAAAAGGAGGGAGCGTACATAAATTGTGTACATCCCGAAAAGATTAGGGTATCGGTTCGATCTTTATATCTTATTTTTTAAGACGGATTTAAATATTTTTATCCTGACCTGCCACACACTCCGAATTAATCCATAGCCGACTCTAAAAGTTAAAGCTTGCATGTGGAGATATCGGGAAAAGTCAACTCAATATATAATGGGTTAACTCAAAAAAAAAAAACAAGGGATGGCATAATTATTTTGTCTCTGCCTTTCTTTTACCTTCATATAAATAGAAAAATGGAAGCGGCCAGCACAAGAGAAAGGAAAGGACCAAAATGCAAGAATTACGAGTTAAGGGTTAAAAGGAGAAGATTTAAAAAGAAAACAAGATAATTAATTACGAGGGTCTAATCTTAAATAAAACCAAATATATGTTTATCTATTATCAATGTTATTAAAATCTGCCCGGTCATTGACCCGATCGAGGTACTGAGTCACTGGTTCAACCAGTGGGTCACTGGTTCAACCGCAAGATCCGGTAATTATATGCAATTTTATAATTTATATTAAAAAATTATAAACATACTCAAATATCTAGAAAAAATGATAAATATTTTAATACAAAAAATAATAAATCACATATTATTATCAAATAAAAAATCAAACAAAAATATAACGATCGTGATACGGGACTTTAGGTTCATAAAACGACATCTCTAACTATGAATTAATTCAAAATTTTATGCATAGTACATAATTGAGATAATATTAGAGTTGTAGGTACATAACTTATGTAAGTCAATAAGCAAAAAAATATTCAAATATAGCTATTATGATTTTTATTTTTAAAAACAAAAATTTGAAAAAAAAATTTGGGACCGGGCCGGGTCACCGGTTTTTGTGAAAATCGGTCGGATCGCATCGATTCTGATGCATAGCCGGTCCGTTGCTTCAACCGAACCAGTTATATAACGAGTTTACCAATTTTCGGATCAACCCAACCGGATCGGTCCAATTTTATTAACTATGCTTCCACTATTATAGCATGTCATTTATAAGGTGTATCCATCCTCCTAACAATGACTATTGTAGAAAACTCCCCCTAAGACACTCAAATTACAGACACAATTCAAATGAAATGATTACCGCAGCAAAACAGTTGAGCATATAAGTACTCAAAACTTACAATATTTTTTTTTTTGATAACAACTTACAATATTTTTATCATTACCCATGAAGCGCATTATATTTTTTTCATTAATTTCTCTATTTTTATAAAGTATCATTTAATTAAAAATAATAATGACTAAATAAATGGAGAGAGATAAATATTGGATGTTTCATATATATATATATATATACATATGAGAAAAAGACTTTTGATATGTTGCATGAGAAGTCTCATTTCCTACCACTCTCACTTTGATGTTTGTGTCAATCACTTTTTTATTTCTTATTTTTTACTTTAAAGTGGGTCCTATCCCTTTCTCTCTCTGTAGGAAAACTTGAATCTTTCATACAACATGAGAAATTGCAAGCCATATATATATATATATATATATGAAAACAATGCTATATAAGCTAGTGATAGGAGCTTAAATAATTTAACGGATTATAAGATCAAATTTTGGTATGGTTATTAAAAATAAATGGAAAGAGAAAAGCATATATGCTTGTCACTATCTTCTTGAGTAATTAATAGGATATACCTAAAAACATGCTATTGAAAATTGGGGGAGTGGATTCTCTCATGTGAAAAAGTTGTCATGTGATCATGTTATTTGATCGCAGCCACTCATTGATGATGAGATAAGAGAGAAAAGTATATAATTTTGAAATGAGTGATTGTGATCAAATAACATGACCACATGACCACTTTTCCACGTGAGAGGATTCACTCGTGTGGATGATACTAAAATTTTAAATTTGTTTTAAAATTTTTGTTCCTTGCTGGCTGGCAGTGGAAAAACATTCAATTGATAAAATATTCATAATGAAGATCGAAGCTGTCAACAATAAAGAAGTGCAATTGTTTCCCTTCTTTAAAGAGACCATGTTTATCATGAAACGATCCCCGAGTAGCTGTGTCTTTCTCTCAGTTTCATTTCCCTAGAAACGTCAGATAGTGACACATTTACTCTCTCTGTCACTCTCTCTCTTAATGCTTTTCAATTTCAAATGCTAAAATATCTCATTATTACTATGACTCCATGAAGAAAGGAGGAAGCTAATATTGCTGATATCCAAGCTTTTCCAAAGAGGGTTTCTGAATTTTCAACAACTTTAAAAGCTCCATAAATACATTACACTAAAACACACATATCAGACACACACACACAAATATAGAATAATAGAAGAGAAGAGCTATTTTCTCTTTCTCTTTTTTCCAGGTTTAGTTTGCATCATTGCTTATGCATGCAGATATATATATCTATCTATCTGGGTCATCATGATAATGGAAGAGTGACAGATAGAAGAATCCCTAGCTAGCTTCTCCTGATTCTTACTTCTTCTCGTTAACTGTTCCAGCACATCTCTTATATGTCTCTCTCTATCCATGGCATCTCAACCCTTCTTTCATTATTGAGTACTCTTTCACAGATGCTTCTTCATCAGCAACTAGTGCATGCCTTGAATTGAATACTCATCACTGTCATTTCACTACACAACAAACCATAATAAATATTCAACAGTACATCATGTATCAAAAGCTCCCATCATATATAATAATAATAATATAGATAACATATAATAATTTAATTTAATCAGTAATTTATTGCCTATTAAATTCATTATTTCCTTTACTGGCTAACTGTTGATGTACCTGAAGTACATTCATTCAGATTCATGAAAATGATGGCTTTTTCCAAAGTAAATTGTGAGTTTCCCTTCCCAATAATTTTCACCGTTCGCCTGAAAAAAAGGGTTAATTCAAAAAAGCCTGAAAGGACTTCAGAATAGAGGGATGTAATGTAATAGTTTGAAACACTGGAAAGACCTATATAGGAGACAGAGCAGCTAGCTAGTTGCAGATAAATTAAGAAAGAATTTCACATCTGATAGGTTTTCACTGTTCATTCTTTCAGCTTTCTTGCCCACGTGAAAATGAACATTCTCGCAGCTGTGGCAAATTTATTTATTTTTTTGGTAATAATATATTCAATGTCTCTCTTCTCTGAAATGTTAATTAATCTAAAATTAATATACCAAAAACTAGAGTGATCTGAAGTTGGGTGGTGCAAGAGTTTCTCTATCTCTATCTCTCTCTCTGTAAGTGTGCAAGAGAGAAAAAAAAAGGGGATAGGGTAACAAATCGACAATAGTTTCAGTCGGTGCAAGAGAATTGGGCATGAAGAGTGAGAATATCTGTTCGATCTTTTTTAGTACCGTCTTTGGAATAGATTTAATACCTTAATATCAAGACTCGCTCTAAATCCAACTAGTTTCGAAGGCGATGAGTTAATTGAAATATTAAAAAAAAAAAAAGATAGGACAGAGAAGGAGATCAGGTTAATTCTTCATACAAGTGCTTCAAATGAGAAAAACTAAAGCTACTTACGAGAGACTTGAGCAGAGTTAAAAAATCTGAACAGATTCAGACTGAAACCTTTTTTTTTTTAAGCCATATATGTAAACAAATTGGAAGAAGGTAGTAAAAGTTGACATGTGTAATAAAAACTAAGCTGTAATTAAGGTAACAAATAAATACAATCTTTATAAGAATTTAAAACAAGATGAAGAAGGAACAGAAAGCCTTACCAAGAGAAATAGGGGCAAGATATCGATGAAGATAGATGATGATGATCATTAGAAACAAAATGAAATTCAAGTAGCAAAAGTTGGCTGGGGGGAATGAAGCCTGGTCCGAGAATCATTTTTCTGTTAAGAGTAGGGTAATTAAATTTCCATTTACTTCACTGGAAACTTTCACTACTGAAAGAATTGATATCAGTACTCCTCCTCCTCCAAACATGACCTCGAGCCAGACAACATTCCTCTCAACCTAACCTTTGCAAGAACCACCACCTTAACCACATTTATACAAAGAAAAAACAACACCTCCTCTTTCAACTTTGAAGTTTGAACATGCATGATGATTAGAAATCCAAATGAAGAACAATAATTTAATTAATAGGCAGCAGCAGCATCACATGAAATAAGTACATATTTGAGGGGAATGAAGCCTGGTCCGAAGCCTTATAGTTCTTCCAATTGTGAATGAACCTCCTTTGTGAAAAGCCTCGAGCCAGCCAACATTCCCCTCAATACAAACCCATCTCAACGTTTTGCTGTTTGCCCCCACCCCTCACCCTGAAAACCCTAACCCACATATACCTTCTTATATAGAGAGAGGCCCTCTCTGTGTCCATGTGTGAAAGAGAGAGAGAAAGAACAAAAAAAAAAAAAGTAATCACTGACTCACACTATAACACTAATGGTGCTTTTTAGTTACCCATTCTTATGTTCCAAAATTAGCTTATGCAAAACGGCACATTTACACTAACTACTGACGTATAATATGAAATAAAACAAATAACCAAAGCATCGTACATTGTTACACAACACCTCAAAAACGGAAAAATTAATTCCTTTGAACATTTTTTTTTTATGTGATGAGATTTTACTTAAAAACTACTAAATTCTGCTATATAATATAAGGGTTCAGTGAGTGTCCTTTTAAAAGATATAAGCTTATATCATTTTAACAGTTTTTAACTATGCATTTTCAGAAATGCATAATTATACTATTAAAGTTATATTTTCTCGCTTTCTACGTCAGTAGACAGCTCATGAAGAGAGAACAAAAAATATAATTTTAATATAACAATTATATATTTTCAAAAATACATAATTAAAAATTATTAAAAAAATATAAATTTATGTCCTTTAAAACAATATTATTTTTCCCATGATGTAAATGCACACTACATAATTTTACTTAATAACCATACAAAGACTGAGATTAAGATACCCTTTCCCACTTATATATTAAATATTCCTTAACTTTATCTTTAAAATATGAGTAAATATCATTTTTGGTACTCAGCAAATTTCACGATACCCATTTTAGTCCCTAGCAAATAAAAAGGCCTATTGTGGTCCCTAAGAAATTCAAAATGGACCAATTTAATTGAAATCGTGGTCCATCACAAATTCATAGACCCATATTAGTACTTAAAAGGACTAAAATAAGTCCATTTTGAATTTTTTAGGGATCACGATAGATCTTTTTATTTACTAAGGACTAAAGCAGGCATCGTGAAATTTGGCAAGAACAAAAAAAAATATTTATTTACTCTTAAAATATTTTCTTTAGCAAGACTTTGATTTTTTTAATTTATCATTAAAGAAGCAGGTCTTATTTTTTGTAATTCCTACGGGAATGACCTGAGGCTGCCGGTCAACCAACCGACCCGTTACCTGCTACTAAGAGTTGCTCCCGGTCAAACACACAGAACAAGACAAAATGAGTATTTAAAATACACTTGACACGAGATCAGTGTGTCTTTAATGCGATTCTTTCATCATTGCCTTATTATTTTCAGCTTTTTGTTATCTCGACTTTCAAACTCCTCTGTACTATGCTTTGCCCGCACGGCCACATCATATCACAATCACATGCATCTCTTTCTCTTTTTATCTTCTCTTCCCCCCCCCCCCCCACCTCGTGGTGATTATTTTTAGTGATTATTTTTTTATTTAACATTAAACATGAATAAGCATTTCACCAAAAAAATGCATAAAAACATTGATTAGGGATGAATTTCGGGATGATTTTTAGTAAGAAATTTTTTATTATATAACATCGAATATTTGTGAAACAATGATAATTAAAACATTAGATAATGATGTCTACCAAAAAAAAAAAAATAACATTAGATAATGATAATTCTATCTAATTGAAGAAATGCAGATGTTAATATATTTTCTATATGATCCACACAACCTTACATGTTTAATATACAAATTCTTAGATAAGCATTAATTACTTTCTATGCTGCATTTAATATTAAACTTTATGTAAAGTTACTGGAATCGAAAATTAAAATAACATTTATTTATAAAAAAATATTTGTACACTCTTTAATGTAATATGAAATATCTATGATAAATAGTGTATGCCAGAGAATTTCTTCTCCCTACCTGGCTGGCCTAGTTGAGCCGGAGATAATAGTCTCAGACTTTTGTGCGACACCGGACTCCTCAATTATTCGACTCAACAACATAAAAAATTTCCGATCTCCCTTCATCTAAATCAATTGGAATCTTAATTTATGTGAACTCACTTATTATACTTAATTTCATTATAAATACTATTTTATATGTATTTATTCGAACCACTTTTTGTTGAAATATTTTTTTGTTAAAATAGTTTACATATTATATAAAGGGAAAATAAATATAATGTCGTAGGAAAGTTGTTAGGTTATGTTGTAAAGATAGAGATTGTGGGACCCACACTTGTTTTATTTTTTTGTTTTTTTGAAAATAAGTGTGAATCCCATAATTTCTATCACTACAACATAATCTAACAATTTTCCTACAACATTATTTTTTTTTTCCCTTATATAAATCACCTGTTGACTAATAGCCTAAACAGTCATGCCCTTAATAGGTTTCTGATATATATGCACATGTGAAATAAGCCAATAATAGAATTGTCAATTTATGTAACTTGATTATATACAAGATATGTTTCAGAATCTATCTAAAGTCATAACTTCATTGCAAAATCTAAACTATATGAACTTAGGCTACACAATTTATGTGGATTGAGCCAACAAGATAAACGTGGCTGACAGTTTATGTGACTTGATTATCTACTCAATAGGTACACATTTTTCAAGATTTTGTTACATGTACAGTGGAATCAATTTATTAGGTCGGCCTACATAGTTTATGTGCTTAAAGTCAATTCAATAATTTTCGTCTCGCAGTAATTACCTCCAAAATTAGAATTGGACCTGTTTAATTTTTTATTAAATAGTATGCCAACAAATTAACATTTCTCCTTTTATTAAATTCACTCATGCTTATTAAAAAAAATAATGATAGAAGCCACAAAGAATTGGTCAAGTGGTGAGGAATTTCAATAAGTTGTATTAAGTTATAATATGTTCAATTCTCACTTATATAAAAAAACAAAAAGATAATGATAGTAATATTTTTACAGTTACTTATAAATTTTAAATGTATCTTTATTTAATTTTTATTTAAAAAAAGTATAGATTTTTAGATGTGGAAGATTATACTTACCATCATTTTAATTTTATCACTCTTATTAATTATTGTTATGGTTGGATCAATTTGAAATTAAAGTCAGTTATCTTTTCTCTTTTTCAACCGTTGATTTCAAATTGAGTCAATAATAAACAAACTTGTAGTGAAAATGATAAGACTAAAATGATAATAAGTATAATCGCTCCTAGGTATTATTACATGTATGCATTTTTGTACAATAACATACATATCAATCCATTCATCTTCATTAAAATTAAAAATATGGTTCAAAATCCATCAATAATCATATAGTTTATTTATTATTTTTAACCAATACTTTTTTGCCTCCATATATACTACTAATCCATCTGCATCTTTATTGTAAAATTAGTGTATGAAATTTAGCATGCAAATACCTCAACCAAATTACTATACAGGGGTGTCCATCAACAGATCTAAAATAATTCAAATCGCGATAATTGAACCGAAAAACTGTTAATTGAAAAAAAAAAAAATTAGTTGGATTGAATCGGTTTTTGGTTTGATTGGTGAAAATTGATCTAATATATTATGTATTTATTATTTTTGAAAAATGGTGACTTGAAATCCTGTTATTTTGTAGACTTGAAACCTTAGATGTTAATGATAGCAAACTATCTTGTTTTAGTTTTTTATTATCTATTATCCTATTTTAAATCTTCATGAGTTTTAAGACTTATTTTAGTTTGAAAACTTGAATTTTCCAGTAGTTTGTAATTTGTATGACTTCATTTTGATATAGGTAATGATTTGTATCAATGTTATTAAAACCGGCCTGGTCATTGACCCGGTCGAGGTACTGGGTCACTGGTTCAACCAGTGGGTTACTGGTTCAACCGCATGATCCGGTAATTATATGCAATTTTATAATTTGTATTAAAAAAATTATAAACATACTTAAATATCTAAAAAAAAAAAAGATAAAAATTTCAAATATTTTAATATAAAAAATAATAAATCACGTATTATTATCCAATAAAAGATCAAACAAAAATATAATGATCGTGATACAGGACTTTAGGTTAAGAAAATGACATTTCTAACTATAAATCAAATCAAAATTTTCTGCATAGTGCATAATTGAGATAATATTAGTGTTGTAGGTACATAACTTACGTAAGTTAATAAGCAAAAAAATATTCAAATATATCCATTATGATTTTATTTTTTTTGAAAAAAAAATTAAATTTTTTTTTGAGACCGGGCCGGGTCACCGGTTAACCGACTGGGTCACCGGTTTTCATGAAAACCGACCGGGTCGCACCGGTTCTGATGCATAACTCGTCCGTTGCTTGAACCGGACCGGTTATATGACCGGTTTACCGGTTCTCGGGTCGACCCGGCCGGGTCAGTCCGGGTTTTATAACACTGATTTGTATGACTAGAATTTTAGGTTTTTTGAAAAATTGAAAACCAATTCAAACCTAACCGAATAAAATTATATTAGATTATATCGGATTTGAAAGAAAAAAAAATCAAACGAAGGAGATAATTAATTAAAGGGTTTTATAAGAGTTATGTTGTAGGAAAAGTGATTGTGTAATGTTATAGAGATTTATTTAGTGTGCCGTAATTTTTTTTTTCTCTTCAAAAAGTGTGGGCCCTCACAAAATGTTGTGTGTTTAGAAAAGTTTGTTGTGTCATATTAAATGACAAATGCAAACCTCATTTAATTAAATGATCGAATGAATTGAGTCAGATAATTTCTCCTTCAAAACTAATCTAATTCAAACCGCCAACACTCATCATACCATAAGAATTCAACGTATTACCTCAATTTGGTCTAGTGTACATATCTACTACGTTACCTAGCTATAGTATTGGTAGGTATGCTGATTTTTATTTTCTTCTTAACTGATCTGATTGGCCATGGCCGTTACGTGTTACATGACCTACTAGAAGAGTTAATCATCACAATAGTTGCAATGTTGCAGCAAAGAGGGCCAGTTGTTTACTTGTTGAGAACAAAACATAACAACAGAAAAGAAACTCTAAACTGTACAAGCGTATGGCATAGAACTTGTGTCTCTCCATTAAT